GGTCCACCACTGAGTGAGCTGGGGGGGCCCTGTGCCCACCCTGGCTCGCCAATCAGTTGCAGGGAGACCCTGGGTGCCCCCCCAGACCCAGAAGGCACCAGTCGCCAAGCCAAGAAGGCATGCTCCCCGGCAGACCCAGAAGTGGACTGGAAGTGCTTCTGGTTCACTTCCAGGTCTGCTGCTGAGCACACTGGGCCCCCCGCATCCACCCCAGCATCCACCCACCATCTCAGCATCCACGAGCCACCTGGTACCTTGAGGTATACAGAAAAAACATTGAAAGCTGTGTCTAAGGCCCAATCGTCGAATCTCTCCAAATCAATTCGGAGGGTTCTGATTCGATCTGGAGAGAGTAAAGGGTCTCCTGATTCGATTTGGATTTAGAGATTCGGCCACCGAATCAGGCCGAATCTCTGCTGAATTGAATCAGTGACAGAAGCTTCACACAGCCCTACTTTATGTCTTGGAAGAGGGATTCTTGGATCAAATTATTGCTACTATTATACCAGTTCACCATACATTATAGCAATTCTCCTCTTACTTGCAACAGTATCACTCTTGGATATCAGTGGAGTTACACCAGAATACTTTTATAAGTGAGAGAACAATCACTTCCCAGTGCACAGTTGGTTCTTCAATCATATTTGCATAGTTACCTCCTTATAGGGATAGGGATTCTTATAAAGGCTTTATATCTCAGCAGTTCCCTGTGAAATTCTTGAAAGTGCTTGAATTTCCTTTTCACTTGCCATGTAAATTCCCCATGTGTCAACTCAATAGTGTAAACATTTGGACTTGGTACCTATAGGAAAGAACAGCACAACTTTCAAATGAGTAATAACTTTTCTAGGAATTTAACTAATCATTGGTTGAACTTTATGGTCATTTCTTATTTATTTTAATTACAGTCTGCATTAGATGCTAATCAGGACAAGCAAAGATATTACCTGTTAGAGTTATTTCAAGACCGCACGTTCATATTTTCTACAAACAATTAACTGATTTACAGGAAATTACTAGGATGAAAATTAATCACTAAGTAATATGTTAACACAATATTAGAAACGGGGATTTGGGAAAAGGGGAGCAGGGAGCAGGTTTAGGAGACAATATCTATCCAGTAACAGATATATATGTTCAGACCTTTGTTGTTGAGGTAAAACGCTCGACTTCCAACACTCTCACTCTAATCGGACACCCAGTTAGAAATGTCTGTATATGAGGCTCTTTGAATCCTTGAGTGTTATAAATTGTAGAGAATGGGATGCCCACTGCAAACAACCATGGAAAATAGCAATTAGTTTAAAGACCATTTTAAACTATGAATAAGAATGTATTAGCAAAAAGATAATGTAACAAGTTAACACAGTTTACTGCAAACCCTAAATTCTTGTCTTACGTTTTGCAAAAAATACCAGCCATTTTTTAACCAATTACACCAAAGTTCACATACGTTCACATTATATAACCTGACTTAAAGAATTCAGATGCCAGGTACAACACTTCCTGGTGACAAAATGGGGTCAATGGTTGATTAAGGACACATAGTGGAACTTCAGCAGTTAGCATTTTGCTAACCAACACATTTCATAATTCATGCAAAGACTTCCTCAGCAAAGATACTGAGAAAGATACTGCTGTACTAAGGTCTTGGCTAAGACTTCATCAATATTACAAAATACTATGGTTCTTCAGCTATCCCTCAATATGAGAATGATGTTTGCCGGGGGGTGATTATTGTTGAGTTTTAAGGTGGCTGAGGATTTCAATCCGTGCTCTGCAAGTTTTTCCACAGATATGACAGGTGGTGCCAGGGGTGGGGTGGGGTGGGGGTGGGCACAGCTGTCAGCCAGGGCGTTGTGCTTTCCTTCCTCTTCTGCCATTTTTTGGCTTCCTGAGCAAGACGGTTGTCTTTGAAATGGGCTGTAGCTTGATGTATGGTGCAGCACCACTGAGACCTGTTGCCAGCCAGCACCTCCCACTTTGGAAGGTTGATACTACCCTTCTTAAAGTATGCTTCCAGGGTGTTCCTGTAGAGCTTCTTCTGTCCTCCACCGATCCTCTTACCATGACTAAGTTGAGAGAAGAGGACTTGCTTCAGGAGACAAGCGTCAGCCATCCGCTCATGGTGGCCATCCCAGCAGAGTTGATGTTTCATGATCTTTGCCTCGTTGCTTGTTATGTTAGCTACAGAGAGGATGCTGGCATTGATGCAGTCATCTGCATGCATCCCATCTAATGGAAAGGATCTCCCCAAGGCAACCGTGAGGGAACCATTCCAGGTGCTTAAGATGGCTTCAATATCAAGGAGCACATTTGTGAGGGGCCGGCATCAGAAATGATGCTCAGGGGCAATCAGCATGGATTTATTAGGGGGAGATCATGTCAGACCAACCTGATTGCCTTCTATGATCAGGTCACAAAGGCCATGGATGCAGGTGTCGCGGTGGATGTAGTCTTTCTGGACTTCAGCAAGGCCTTTGACACCGTCTCTCACCCCATCCTAGTTAAAAAACTAGG